TAACGCATGTCATTCGATGTTATCATGACAGGACCGTTTGTGATGCGTTTAGCCTTTGTGTCGGCTCCATGATATATAGCACAGTCGGTAAAACGGTCAGCACTGAGCACACCTTGTCCCCATACGGTATGGCGAATGGGTCATAGGATCGCTAACAACATATGCGCATTCCATATTCGAGAGCAATTCAGGGTGGCAGAGATTCGTGGGCTAGTTATGTTCGTGAATATGATCTCAGAGCATAAAACTTTCACTCCCAGTCTAAGCAGGACTCGCGAGCACCTAGCAGTGCCGCACCCGTAGCAACGCGAACATTGTTCTCAGAAGGCCCTTGCTTGACGGGGCGTCCAATTTCGCAAGAAACCTTCGATCGAGGCTAACATGGTGAGTTATACTGCGCACTGGTTAGGTAGGCAGCAATAGAAGACTTTTGTATAGATTATGCAACCATGTAGAGAAGAGAAGTGAAGTTTTTATCACTCGGTGTCGGGTAGTCAGATGAGAATCAGACGCTGCAGGAATGCTAAGGGAAAGCCTACAGCACCGAGGAGTGCGAAAAACAGCGACTAGATTAAGATCCTATAAGGTTTGTCGGACGCATGTATCCGTGTGAATAAGGCCCTCGGACATGAGTATCCGTGTGTATAAGGTGGTCGGACACGAGTATCCGGGTGTATAAGGTGGTCGGACACGAGTATCCGGGTGTATAGGGTGGTCGGACACGAGTATCCGGGTGTATAGGGTGGTCGGACACGAGTATCCGGGTGTATAAGGTGGTCGGACACGAGTATCCGGGTGTATAGGGTGGTCGGACAAGAGTATCCGGGTGTATAAGGTGGTCGGACACGAGTATCCGGGTGTATAGGGTGGTCGGACACGAGTATCCGGGTGTATAAGGTGGTCGGACACGAGTATCCGGGTGTATAGGGTGGTCGAACACGAGTATCCGGGTGTATAAGGTGGTCGGACACGAGTATCCGGGTGTATAAGGTGATCGGACACGAGTATCCGGGTGTATAGGGTGGTCGGACACGAGTATCCGGGTGTATAAGGTGGTCGGACACGAGTATCCGGGTGTATAGGGTGGTCGGACACGAGTATCCGGGTGTATAGGGTGGTCGGACACGAGTATCCGGGTGTATAAGGCCCTCGGACACGAGTATCCGGGTGTATAAGGTGGTCGGACACGAGTATCCGGGTGTATAAGGTGATCGGACACGAGTATCCGGGTGTATAGGGTGGTCGGACACGAGTATCCGGGTGTATAAGGTGGTCGGACACGAGTATCCGGGTGTATAGGGTGGTCGGACACGAGTATCCGGGTGTATAAGGTGGTCGGACACGAGTATCCGGGTGTATAAGGTGATCGGACACGAGTATCCGGGTGTATAGGGTGGTCGGACACGAGTATCCGGGTGTATAAGGTGGTCGGACGACGACTTCCTTATGAGCAGGTAGAATTTCCAAAGCGATCATCTCAGAGTTTATCATCTGGCAGCGACCAAGCAGTAGCACGGCAGCTAGTCAAAAAAAACATAAACTTCCTCTAACAGCTCCCTTCCACTTGAGCTCGTCCATCGGTTTTCCCGTAAGCACGGTGCAGAAAAGCTTCTCATAATCAGTCAAGTTGTTTTTCGGACAACCTACTCTACCATGTTCGTGCTCATGAAACTCAACAACTATATAGATCACTGCGTGATGCATGACCTTTAACTCAGTAAACGGCCCGATCAGGAAGACAACGGACAACTCGAAGACAAGTCTCAGGGTAAGTATCGAAAAAAAGACGCGGAGTAAAGGCTACATTAAGCCTTAGCAGCTAGTAAGAGTTGTATCGATGAGGAAACCTGCTTTGATATGGATCTCAGTAGAACTGATGATAGTGCCTCTGATACTTTTGATATGGAACATATCAATCAACTGTTGCAGCATAGCATCGTAGTTGGAGAAGACGATATCATCACCCGCAACTTCATAATCAGCGCCCGCGCTTTGTCCTAGGACACTGACAGTAGCGCGTCCATTTTCGTCAAAGTCGACGCTGAAACTCTCTCCATAGAGTTCACCACAGTAATTGCCTTGGGAACCCTCGGATACGCTGCTAGT